TTTATCTGAAAGTCAAACAGAATATTGATCCTAAAACAACACACATTCTGACAGTAAAACTTGTTCCAATGACCTTCAAAAGAGGAGGGAAATTCTCAGGTCTGCATTTAGAAACTAACTTCATCAGACTTGCGTGCGCGTGCACACACACACACACACACACAAATACATCAGGAACCTTATGATTTTTCACAATAAAATATAACTTATCTTCTCCTTTACTGGGAACAATGATCTTTCTAATACTGAAATAACAAGCATCATATTTCTTTCAGTTGTTAAATGGTTGACTTAGTCAAAAGGAAAAAAAAAAAGTGATAGCTCTGTACTATAGAACAAGTAGAGAACGGTATATGTGATAAAAGTGAAAAAAAATATCATAACGACCTGTCATATGCAAAGCAGGTAGGAGTCTAAAATAATTCCATAATTCTTGAGTACATATTTCCATCTGGTTTCCAAATATAACCATTTGACATCCTTTCAAAGATTACTACAAGGTCATTCTAATCCTGTGCTGTTGAAGTACTCAGGCTACCTGGAGTAGTTTTAAAAATGACTTCACATACTGAAGTTCTTATATTGGTTATAAAAATATGTGTATTCTATATTCATCTATAAAAATTCCTCTAAATTTGTTACTGGATACTATTTCCTCTTCTTCCCACAGGACCAATAAGTATTTATGAAGAAAAAAAAAAAATCTGTGATCATTCTAATGCATAACTGCATCCTAAATACAGCTACATATAGTTTCTTCCTCCGGTCATAAGGCCTAATTTTGAAGATATTCACTGATGAAATGTTCTAGGTAGACTCAGCATTAAGGCAAAATGATGTAACATATCTGAGTCAGAAAGTATGACAAATGAGTATTTTTGAATCCTGGAAGCCTACCCTCTTTTCACAGAGAAAACACCCACGATGTTTGAAAAAACACCCTTCTCCTGAGGCCAAATAGAGCATGCAAGATAGTTTTTGAGTGAGCAGCTAGACCTACATTAAGAATTAACCATTTTATGCCACATTTTTACTGCACATAGTTGACTTAGATGGGGCATTATTGTAACTGTGGTTCATTTGAATTGGTGTAAACAATACATGGGTTCTACTGTCCTACAGCTTCCATTCAGATGACTACAGTCATGGGACTTTCAGGATAGCAAGCTGATGACAGTGCATGGTAGTTTGTCCTGAAATCCAGTTCAAACACAGACATATCCATTAGACCATAAGCTCTTTAAAGTATCAAGAATGTACAGTTCTTGAAGTTTTTTTTTTTTTTTTTTTTTAACTAAAGTTAAATGTGAAATACTTTAGAGGGTAATTCATGCAATACACAAAACTAAAGGACTTGTAAGATCCTGTTCAAATTTCAGATACTATTCCACTCAATAAACATTGACTGTGCTTCTACTAAACACAGGCACTGTGCTAGGTGCTAAGGTTATCAAGTTGATGAAGTCATTATCTTTGCTGTGACTTGTGACTACAGGTAGTCCCCGGGCTATGAACATTCAAGTTATGTACAACCCATAGTTACAAACAAAACACAATGGTTTGTAATAACAAATGGATGCTGCTTTGCAACATGCATCAAAATATCATTATCATTACTGTATTATTATGTTAAATACATTATAATGTATCTGGAAATGTTTCCTTAATGTGTTTTATGCATAGAAAAGTACAGTATATACTATTTACTAAGACAAACATTTGACTGACATTAAGATATGAACTGTAACTGTTCTGATTTACATACAAATTCGACTTAAAGACAGCCTTAGGGACAAAACTCGTTCAAATTCTGGGGACTGCTTGTACACTTCCTACCAGAGAACCTCTGAGAAATGGCTAGTGTATAGAATGCTGGCGTTCCCTAGAGCACAGTTCAACAATCCCCAAATAATGAGTCAGGCTAGATTGTGTAATTCAGGTTTTGTTTGCAAAACTGAAAATGTTTCATCACCTACCTAAGTTTCTATCTTGAGGAATTCTTTAATGGAGACAGCACATGCTGGAATTAAAGGTACAGGTAAGAAATACACAAGTACCCTTGGGTGAATTAAACAATGCTCATGACCATTTCTTTACTCAAGTTCCCTTGCTGACTGCTGACAATATAGTTTGAGTGAAAAATGATGGCTTGAATAAGTGAAGTAGAAACCTGACCTATCACTTTTCTTATACGTTAAATTAAAATCAAGGAAAGTAGAGAATATCTTATCTAGAATGTTACAAACATAAACCAAAAAAAAAAAAAAAAAAAAAAACCAACTGCCTTCAAGTTGATTTCAACTCACAGCAGCTTTATAGGACTGAGTAGAGCTGCCCCATAGGGTTTCCAAGACTGTAAATCTTATGGAAGTAGACTGCCACATCTTTCTCATGGAGCAGCCGGTGAGTTCAAACTGCCAACCTTTGAGTTAGCAAGGGAACACTTAACCACTGTACCAGGCCTCATCGATACAAACAAAACCAAATCAAACACTGACTGCCATCAAGTTGATTCAGACTCATACTCACCCTATTAGACTGAGGAGAACTGCCCCCATAGGGTTTCCAAGACTGTAAATCTTTACAGAAGCAGATTGGCTCGTCTTTCTCCCACTTGAGCAGCTGATGGGTTTGAATAGACAACCTTCTGGTTAGCAGCCAAATGCTTTAAAGACTGTGCAGCTACCATCCTTGATACAAACAATAGGATGCAAAACCCTCATGTACTTTTGCCTCCCTAGGTGGTGTAAATGGTCAATGTGCTTGGCTGCTAACAAAAAGATAGCAGGTTCTAGTCCATCCCAGGAGCTCTGGTATTGTAGTGCCTAAGGCACTATGAGTCGGGGCCGGCTCGACAGCAAACAACAACAACAAGGCACTTGACTGCTAACAGAAGGCTGGCGGTTCAAACCCACAAGCCACTCCTCGGAAGGAAGGTTGGGCAATCTACTTCTGTAGTGATACCACCTCGGAAACCCAAGGAGGGGCTGCTATGAGTCGGCAGACTCGATGGCACATAACAACAACAACAACAGTCCATCCCAGAGATGCATCTGAAGAAACGACTACTTCTAAAATCTAATTCCAAAAAATAGCCATTGAAGGGAGTTGGGGGTAGAAGGGAGTTGGAATCTCTGACAATTGATATAAGTCCTGGTCTGGGTATCTTTGCAAAAAGTTACTTCTCTGACTTTTGTTGTTGTTATATGCCGTCACGTCAGACTCAACTCATAGCGACCCCTCCTTGGGTTGCTGAGGCAGTATCGCTACAGAAGTAGATTGCCCAACCTTCCTTCCGAGGAGTGGCTGGTGGGTTTGAACCACCAGCCTTTTGGTTAGCAGTCAAGTGCCTTAGGCACCATGCTACCAGAGCTCCTTCACTGACCTTTGGCTGTACAAAAACTTAATAATACAAGCATTGTTTTGAGTGCAAGTATGTGGGAGGCATTTTCCCCATTTTTGGTGACCTAAGTATGTTTAAGAAATGTTTTTGCATTTATTGCGTGAACTCATAAAACAAAGGAAGAGACTTTCGACCCATTCAGTGAAAGTCTATATATTAAAGTTTGTGTTTGAAAAATGTGTTACTACTGATTGCAGTCATAAAGGTCTGCTTTCCACCCACAGGTTGCCATTATCTCAAAGGTGAAATTTTAGCATATGACTAAAACATCCTATAGCTACAGCTTCATGATTCAGTATCTAATGTCAATAATTCACAGTGAGATCATAGGCTCTCTGTACAAGGTAGTGACATACTCACTTGCCTTCTGAAAGGAAGCTTAAGGCATCTGGAGAGCAATTTGAGTTTAGGCTGTGGCTGTGTGGGTGTCAGACATTTGTCTCTTGGCTTTCACAGGTGCAGTAGGATCCTCCTTTGTGAAAGGCTCTCTCGGAAAGGTGAATTGGGGTTGTCCAGCTGGAGTTCACACATGTGGCCACCAGCTCCCCATGTGCACCAGTTCATGGTTTTTCAAAACTGCACTGGACAGATGGGAAGCCTTTCTGTTTTCTGTGGAAAAGATTCCAACTCAGTTCACTTGCCACCATCAAACACAAATGTGTTGATTTTTCTTTTTTGAGCTTCCAACCTTTGCAACCTTCCAAAAATAAATCAAACCAGCCATCAGGGCACCAAAATAATACCACTACTAATAAGCGGCTTTGCTCAGACTTAACATAAACAACACTTCTGAACTAAACTTTGCCCCAGAGGTCTGCACACTCTTTTTATGTAACCTGCTTACTAGTAATTACTAGACTTGAGTGCATTAACCCTGGAAATAGATTTTAATAGCAACCACTAAAAGAAAAGACATGAAATGATTAAAAAAAAAATAGAAAAAAGAAATGTGCACCAACTAGAAAAACACTCTGCAGCCTTATCCAGCCCCAGTTGAAGACACACACACACGTCCCCTCCGCCCCACACACATCCCCTCCGCCCCTTCTACACAGACCCACCCGCCAATGGGATCAGAGAGTCAGCTCCTGACCCCGCCCTCCCCTCGCCCTGCATCACTCCCGCCCCTAGTGCCGCCTCGCGTAGCTCCTCCCCCTTCCGCTCCTTTCAGCCTGGATCCAGGCTCTGGGGTCAAATTGCCAGAAGGCTAATTTGCATAACCCAATGGCTGCGTCGTATGCAAATGAGGCTGGAGATGGTTGGCTGGAGCTTAGAAGGATAACTCAGGCGAGTCTGGCCCTTTGTCCTTCAGTGGCTGTTGGTCAGCTGCGGTAGTCTTTGTGCGGGCGGTGCAAGGGTCAGAAGGCGAGAGAGGGAACTGAGCACGAAGGGCTGACGGCGCGGAGTCGGCGGGCGTTGGAGGAGGAGCCCGGGCGGGCAAGGGGCGGCCGGGCGGCAGTGCCCCGGCCGGTGCGCGTGAGTGGCCGGAGCTTGGCGCACTGTGCCTGTGAGGGAAGTGCAGAGAGCAGCCGCCGCGCGCTTAAGGTGGCAAGAGCAGCTCGCACGCCGCTCTCTGTAAGGGACTTGCAGTTGCAATATGACTTTGGAAGAATTCTCGGCTGGAGAGCAGAAGACTGAAAGGTAAGTCAGCCTTCAGACATTTCGGGTCTGTGGGAATCTCCAGAGCCTCTTCCTGAACCCCTCTTGTCCAGCCCTCAGTGCAGAGGGCTGTGGAAGATTTGCGGGGAAGCGGGTACAAAAGTTTGCAGAGGGCATCTCCTGTCTGGCCTCTCTCGGGGACCCAACCTCGGGTCCCCTTTCTAACTCGGTCAAGTCCCTCATGGGCCTTTGAAAAGGGCAGCGCGACCGTCCCTGCCTGCGCAGGTCCTGCGGCTAGCAGCCTCTGGCTGCGCCCAGCGCCGGAGACTGGCAGTGTCCTCTCGAGAGGTGGCGGGTGGCACTCTCCGGGCTTCTCACAGGACTCTGGGAGTATGAAGAGATGTGGTGGGTGGCGGGACCATAGGGAGCCTGGTTTGCAGAAAGCCCAGTGCACCGCGGCCCTTGCACTCGGAAAGGAGCGAGGGGATGGCGACTGCTACCGCGGGGGCCTGGACTGACGGGACCCCTTCCTCTGCCCTTGCCCGCGTTTAGGATGGATAAGGTGGGGGATGCCCTGGAGGAGGTGCTCAGCAAAGCCCTGAGTCAGCGCACCATCACCGTCGGGGTGTACGAGGCGGCCAAGTTGCTCAACGTGTAAGTGGGGCCCTCACGTGTCCCCTCGGGGCGCTCATTCCCGCCCCAGCCCAAGGTGGTCGTCCTCGTAGCGCACCCCTAGCCCTGCAGCGCCGCCTCTTGCTGCTGTCTGCCTACCTCCGCCGCTGCCTGTCGGACGTGGGGCGTGGGGGGAAGCGACCTGAACGCGACCCGCGGGGACCCAGGGGAGGTCGACCAAAGGTTATGGATCCCCAGCGCGGGTCAGTCTTGCCTCGGCGCTCACCCACCCCGCCTCTGCCCGCAGCGACCCGGATAACGTGGTGCTGTGCCTGCTGGCGGCGGACGAGGACGACGACAGGGATGTGGCTCTGCAAATCCACTTCACCCTGATCCAGGCGTTCTGCTGCGAGAACGACATCAACATCTTGCGCGTCAGTAACCCGGGCCGACTGGCTGAGCTCCTGCTCCTGGAGCCCGACGCGAGCCGGGCAGCCAGCGAGGGCGCGGAGCAGCCCCCGGACTTGCACTGCGTGCTGGTGACGGTAAGCGAGAAGGGGGCGGTGGCCGGTCCTGGTTAGAGTCTCCGAAGGAAGGGCTAAAAGTCTCCTGACTGCAGACCTGGAATAGGTAGGGGTCAAGAGGGTGGCTACCTTTGCCTCACTGGAGAGTGTGTTCGGACTTTCAGCCGAGATGTGCTAGTTTCATCATCAGGATTTTCCCTGGTACAGAACATGTCTAAGCTCGTTGGAGGCTGCCAGCAGCGGAAGAGATCCCTGTGAGTCAGCACTGTCAGCCCAGCTACTCCCTCCCTACCTACATCTGCACTACCTCCCGTGACTAATTCCTTTAACAGGGCAGATTAGATAAAGCCAAATAAATTCCTGGCTCACCCTCATTAAGGAGTCAGCTTCATTCTCTGCCAGTCACAGCTAAAAATAGAAGTGGTGTAGGAGACAGACCTTATAATTCCCTAGAAGTACATTAAGAGGATAGAGTGGAAATTTTTTCTTTGCAATCTTGCATTTTTTATTTCTAATAAAAAAGAACTTCAGTGAATGGAAAACTTCTTTTCAGTGAGGAATGTGATAACTTTGTCTTTTAAATTTTACTGTGTTTTGACTAGTTCTAGTTAAGTGGCAGACTATTTTGCTACGCCTGAAAAATGCTCCTCTAACTTTTTGGAGGATAACAGGTCGCAATTCTGTTTAACTGCTGTGTAGCTCATCTCATGGAATACAGGGCATGGAGATACTCTAAGTTGTTTCACTCAGGTGTCTGAAAGTATGGTTTTGCAGGGCAAAACTGAGTATTTTCATGCAAAACTGAATAAATACCAGCATATAAGTCTATGTATGTGGTGTGTGGATTGCATATGTTCAGACTTTGCAGGGTATAGTTTAATAGATAATCAATAATTTTGCAACCCAACTACCTAGAAATTTTATTTTTTGTACTTCTAACTTGTCTCAATTTTGTACAATGAAGATATAGAATGTTTAAGTGTCCTCCTCGCAGAGTAGTAAAATTATTAGCAAATGTTGATTTTTTTAAAAAAAATAAATAAAATAATAAATTTATTTTCCTAAATTTGTTCCTAGAATCCACATTCATCACAATGGAAAGATCCTGCCTTAAGTCAACTTATATGTTTTTGCCGGGAAAGTCGCTACATGGATCAGTGGGTCCCAGTGATTAATCTCCCTGAACGGTGATGGCATCTGAATGAAAATAACTGAACCAAATTGCACTGAAGTTTTGAAATACCTTTGTAGTTACTCAAGCAGTTACTCCCTACACTGATGCAAGGATTACAGAAATTGATGTTAAGGGGCTGAGTGAGTTCAACTACATGTTCTGGGGGACCGGAGATAGATGACTTTGCAGATGGAAAGAGGTGAAATGAAGAAGAAAACTGTGTTGAAACAGAAATACAAGTCAAAAGGAACAAAAATTACAAAGAACCATGCAGGAAGGAAAACAAACTATGTATTAATTTAGAATGGTTGAATTACATTAAAATAAATAAAACCAAATATGTTTTGTTAAAGTTTAAATAATGCAGCAGTAGTTTAGGTATTTTTGGTTTATATGCCCTAAAGGAAAAGAAATACAGAAAGGGTTAATCATATTTTAAAACCATATTTTATTGTATTTTGATGAGGTGTTAAATTCTCAAAGTTTTATTATAAATTGTACTAAGTTATTTTATGACATGAAAGGTTATTTATGCTATAAATTTTTTTTGAAACACAATACCTACAATAAACTGGTATGGATTCATTGCATCATTTCTTAATGTGTGCTTTCCTCTTTTAGGCTTTTGAAAATACATTTGGAAAAATGTAAACCCTCATGAAATCATACACCTATATTGTGTGTGTTCATTCCACACTGGACGTGGGGCATAATTTGTTCTTTGTTCAACAGATACTTTACTGATTCTGTGCTCTATTCTAGGCCCCAAATCAGTAAAACAAAGGTAGCTCAAGAGGAGTTGGGGACAGGGAATAGGAGTAATTAGAGAATGAACTTGCAGAATCTGAATAATTACAGTACAATGATGTAAGTGCTGTAATTATAATAAGATTGCATGCAAAATGTTAAAGAAGCAGAGAGGAAAGAGTGACCAAAGCTACTTGTAAGAGCAGAGTAGTTTTTGCTGGGACGATATAATTTTATTTGAATCCTGAAAAATGAGTTTCATTTTTCCAGTTGGACAGGAAAAAAGGACATGCTGGCAAAGGCACTAGTTTGTATAAAGGTGTGGAGGCCTGAAAGACCAAAACCTGTTTGGGAAACAAAAGATGATTCTGTGTGTGGTTCTGGTGTAGAAGGATAAGGGGGAGATAAGACTGAAAAAAGGTAGGTGGGGATTAGGCACAGACTTGGAAGGGCATCTGTGTCACTGTTACAGGCATCTGAGCTTCTGTAAACTTTGGGGAGTTAGCAGAGGCCTACACACGCAGGGAGTGACGTGATCAGTGTTCTAGGAAGATAACACTGGAGGCTGTGAAAGACGGATCATTGGCAGAGGCACTGTAGGTAAGGCCAACCAGGAAGTAACTAACAGTCCGAGGCTGTGCATTTTGCAGAACTGTATCTAGGTAGTAGAGAAGTGGCCTGACAGATTTCTGGTGCCCTTAGTCTCTTGCTAGAGCTCTGTGTCTTCCAGATGAACATTTCTGTTACGGTTCTGAGGGGTCTGTTAAATTATATCAGATAGAAGAGATGGCAGAGAAAAACACGGAAAGCTTCAGAGAAACAATCATCTTAGTTGGAACAGTCACTTGATAATTAACTGCAACAATTTCTTGTCAGGCATAGCCAAAGAATGCAAAAATGATTACTGAGACTTAAGTCCACAGGATTTTTCTTTGCCTACTTCTCAAACCATACCCCTCCCCCCATTTCTCCCCTGTCATCTGTCTCTTATCCATGTCATAACTCCATACAATCAGGAAAAAGTAGAAATCAGAGTAGAAAGGAAAAATCAAACTAGCAGCAACAAAGATCTCCAAGTTTCTGAATATCTTATGAATAATACAGACCTGCAAGCCCTTCATCTTGCAAACAAGTTTCTTTTCCACATCCGCTGGAAATAATATGTGCGTTTTTTTTTTTTTTTTTTTAATTGTGCTTTGGGTGAAAATTTACAGAGTGGAATTTGTTTTATATTCAACAGTGCATGTACATTTGGTTTCACTCCCCATTACCACCCCCAACCCTAACCCACTCTATTCTCCTTCTCTCCCTTCCCTGTGACCTGGCCCCCATCCCTGTGCCCTTCTTAGTTATGCACTCCAGCCTGTCCAGCTTTCCCTCCATGTGAATGCTGCCCCTCTGGTGCCCCATGGCTAATTGCTCCAAGGGGTATATCCCCGTAGAGTAGGTGGGTACATCACCCTGGGTTGGGTGTTCTGCATGTAAGTCTTTCTACTGTTGGGCTGAGAGCCAGTCCTTCAGAGTGAGTTTTATCCCAGGCCTGAAGTGTATCCCAGGGCCATACTCTGAGGGTCCCACCAGACTCCATCTGACCAGTAATTCTGGTTATTATGTGTTTTTGAATTTTGTTCCACATTTTTCCTCCCACTCTATCCAGGATCTCCAGTTTTGATTCTTTCCCAAGTGGTTGGCATTGGTAGTTGGGCACCATCTAGTTCTTCTAGTCTCGAGATCCATCATGCCCTAGGGCTGATGATTGTTTCCAAATTCCCTTGGTTTTCTTCACTCTTCTTCCCTTCAGACAAGAGGAGACCATTAGCTGTATCTTAGATGGCCGCTTGGAAGCTTTCAACAGTCCAGTTGCTGCTCAGCAAAGTACGCTGTAGAACAAGATTTTTATGTATTATGTTGTGCCTATTGATCCTGATGTCCTGGAACTGTGGGTTTTTAAGCCTTGTTTAGACTTCTATCTTTTGTTTAAGCCAGGTCCCAATCCAAAACATAATTGGTACATAATATTCGTTTTTTATATTACCAATAAATTAGGAGAGTGAGTTTTAAATGGTTGAACTTCTTGCCTTACCAAAACCAAACTCATTGCCATCAAGCCAATTTGACTCATAGCGACCCCTTGTTGGGTTTCCGAGGCAGTATCACTACAGAAGTAGATTTCTCAACCTTCCTTCCGAAGAGTGGCTGGTGCGTTTGAACTGCTAGCCTTCTGGTTAGCAGTCAAATGCCTTAGGCACTATGCCACCAGAGCTCCCCTTCTTGCCTTAGTCCCCACTAAAGTAAGGATTTTCAATAACTACTTGATAAAAATTTTTCTGCAAAGATGAGTGAATTGAAACAGGCAGAGTGGAGAAAAACACTTTTGCATGGTGGAAAAGCACAGGGAGTAAGTAGCCAGTAGCCCGTCTATATCCCATTTTCCTCATCTGTAAAATGGAGATAAAATGACCCATCTTGCAAAATTGTCTGTCCTACAAACTGTAACCTCTCTCAAGTAACTAATGTCTGGTTCATAGTTGTAGCCCCAGTACTTGGCACATTTCCCTGCAAGTAGGAGGTGCTGAATTAATATTTGTTAAGTAAATGAATGATTTGAAATAATGAATGTAAACTACCAGGTACGTGATAGGTACTCAATATAGTGTGTCTATTACTAAACCCCAAGGAGCTCTGGTGGCACAGTGACTAACGCATCTGACTGCTAACCAGAAAGTTGGTGGTTCAAACCCACCAGCCACTCCAAGGAAGCAAGACTGGTCAATCTACTTCCGTAAAGATTTATCACCTTGAAAAACCAATGGGGGTCACTATGAGTCAGAATCAACTTGATGGCAGTGGGTTTTGTTCTTGGTTTTTAATCACTTAATCCCAGGTGCTAGCAATAAACTTTTAAGCCATCAAAGAGGTCTGTCTGCTGCTTGTAACATGATGTATAGTTTTTAAAAAAGGAGTTGTAAATCTCTAAATTCACAATGCTTAGATAAATAAAAGACAGTGAAACCTATGGGAGCCAGAATTTGACAGAACTGCCTTGGTTTTCCAGGTGTCACAATTTTTCCACCTTTGACAATGTGCAGTCTTACCACACTTTTCTATTGCTTTCTATTACTGGAAAATCCTTCTCTGACAGGTTTCTGCCTTACAGTTTCCAGCTTTTGCAGGTTTTACTATAGCAGTATATAGTCTTCAGATTATATTGTTTCAGGAAAATCTCAACAATTAATGCAATGTTGTTGTTTTTGTTTTAAGTTTTAACTGCTATAATTCTTTCCTGCTTGAGCATACATAAAGTCAACATGGCATTGAAAAATCTAGTCATGAAACAGTTCATTGTAAACAAGTACACAATTACCCGGAAGGTTTCTGTCTCTAACTGATGATAATGCTCTTAAGCTGCTGCTTTAAAAACCTCTAAACCTTTATATTGCAAGCTACTTGGAAGACTTTCCAGAACAAAAATCCCCTCGTCTACTTAAGGTGTGTTGTATGTTGGAAAAGTGGAAAATACCTATTTTTCTTCCCCTAAAAACCTTACCCCAGTGTCATGAATCACATTGCCTCTTCCTTCCCACAATTAACCCAGGCCCTCAGTAAATTAAACTTTTAAGAAAGGACCCATGAAGATAACTATTCTCACAAAATACATACACTATTTCCCAAAAGGGGGGAGGGGATGTCATTTCTAGGAAAGAGCAGTCTGCATACTGTCAACTGGGAGCATTTCTAAAGCATATTTTAAGATGCCTTACTGTCATACTTGTGCAATCACCATTTCCTCAGTTTTAAATTCTATGACTTAAATTTTATTTTTTGCTATGTGGTAAGAGGCTGCAAGCAGTAAAGGTGTGCCTTCAAATGAATGCAATTCTCAATGGCATGATTTAACATCAAGCCAGTGTCCTTCAAATTAAGAATTTATTATTTTCCCCTGTTTTGAACAATCCTTAGCTCCTTAGATAAACCCAAAAATCCTTAGCCAAAGAGATGTAGTTATTAAAAGCCATGAAGAAGTACTTAGTGTGGGCAAGGTACATTGAAGCAGGATAGATTGAAGTCTACAGAAAAAATCAGACACATACTCTGGCCTCAAGGAGTTCACAGTCTAGTGAAGCAATGGGACATGCACATCGTAGAGTGCAAAGTTGGAGCTCTGGTGGCCCTGAGGCTGCTAACTAAAGGGCTGGTGGCTCTAACCCACCAGCTGCTCTGTGGGAGAAAGACAAGGAAGTCTGTTTCCATAAAGATTTACAGCCTTGGAAAGCCAATGGGAGTTGCGATGAGTTGGAATCGACTCAATGGCAATGGGTATAGTTCAGAGCATAAAGTGCTAAGCGACATAAGAAAGACCCAGAGAACTGCTCTGGGAGTTCAAAGGGTAGAAATCTCTGGTGGGGCATATGGAATGAATAAGGGAAAAGTTGGTACTCTTCGATCAGAAGTTAACATTGTATTTGTAAACTGAGACACAGATGTTTGTTGATTGGTTGACTAAATATTGAATATAATTCTGCCGGATGTTGTAGGGACAGAGCAGCAGGACCCATGTAAGGGGAGGGCTGAGAGGTTTTGAACAGCTAAGGGAGACAAACTTTTCTGTCAGTTTGTTGTACTGTGGTGGCTTGTGTGTTGCTGTGAGGCTGGAGGCTATGCCACCAGTGTTTCAAATACCAGTAGGGTTGCACATAGTACACAGATTTCAACGCAGCTTACAGACTGAGACAGACTAGGAAGAAGAAAGGCCACCTACTTCTCAAATAACTGGCCAGCGAAAATCTTGTGAATAGCAGAGAAACACTGTCTGATACATTACTGGGCAACTTCATGAATAGCCTAGAAAC